ATAGATTTCGTAATAAAATTATTTAAAATTATTTAAAATATTTGATCAAAGATAACTTAAGAATAATTAGCTTACTTTTTTTAGAATAAAAGTAAGAAATTATAAGAGATACTAAAAGTTAAATTATGGAACACTATACATATAGAATAAATAGTTCTTGCCTGTTTGCTGCATTTATGTATTCACTGTGTGTCATGAATTTAGAGAACATTAATTCTCTATAATACGTCGTTTCTCGCAGAAGACAATGTAATTGTTTACTTTCCGTCCTCTTCTTATTTTTTTTTGCATTTTCGCCAAATTGCAGTCGTACTTGTGCGCAAATACATTTTAAAAGGAGTAAACCAGAGAAATTTACTAAATGTTAATGACAATGTTCCGTAACATCTACGATCACTGATTTCTTCCAACCAAATAAGAAGTAACCAACGGCGGCCCCCGATACCACGGCACAGCACAGCCAGACATTATAAGTCATGAAGATTAGCATCAAAAAGTAAGACAGGACGATTTGTATAATGTGCAGAAATGTTTGAAACAGATGCATCCAGGACATCATAGTCGGCCTGCACAGATTAATATGGCTCATTATGTCCAAATTCACTTAACCCTTACAACACATAACGATTTTGCATTCTTTTACTACACACGACGCTGGATCAATCATGTCTCAGGTTAATTTTCATTACTTTTATAAAAATACTTATATAAAAATTATTAAGTGATTCTTATATATAATACATATACTTTAACATCTCTAGAAAGTATTTGTAAGATTGTGTTTAAAAAATTGTTTATATGTATATAAATGTTAAAACTAATTATTTGGTACTTTTAATATAAAAAAAGCGTAAGAGAGAGAGAGACCACGAATGACTCAGTCGTGTACATTAAAGGTTAAAATAGCAAAAATATGCAAAATTCAAAAATTTATAAATTTCTGCGACATCTATTCATTTGTAGCATAAAAAATCATATTATACAAAATTAAAATCAGACAATTTTTATACAGTTTATTTAAATTATTGTATAGTATCAAAATTTAATAATATATTATATTATATTAAAATTAATTTAGAATATGTATTCATATATTGACATATATGTATATTTAGAGATATAATTTCCGCATAGATAACAAATACTTATTTGTTCTGAATAACTCAATTTTATTAATTATTAAGTATTGTTTTATTATTTAAAGAATAGCATCACATTTAAAATTAATTAGAGATTGAGTTGTTTAATAAGTACTCATAACATGTAGCAAAAATTATTTGTGAAAGTAATACATGAATACGTATGCACATATCCCACTAGAAACATCTAATTAAAAGATAAAAAAACTTATGATACGAAGTGTATGTATTGAAAATGACAAATGACATTTTTTATCTAGCAAAGGATCTATTAAGAAATCTATTAAGAAGATATATCATGCACACGTTTTAATAATGTAAGAATTTAACAAAATATAAACTATTGTTACTATTGTTGTATTTACAAACCGATTTATTTCAATTAAATAATACAATTGTTAATAGACAAAGCATAATTCTGAGAGAAAATCTCAGTGTATCATAAGATCTACTTACGGTTGTTTGTGGATTACTTCGCCAACCATACTAAAAAAGCAGATCAAATGATTAAATTTATAATATTCTTAAAACTTCCACGGGTGCTTTCTATATAAAGATTATGCATTTTGCGGGTTTCCTTCGTGTCCAGATCCATTCTTGAAATGCCAACATTTCGTGAACCTTGTAATCTACTTTATCAGGGCGAGGAGCAGCCTGATACTGCAGACTTTTTGGTGCTGGGTGGTGCGACTCGGCATATAGGTATCTATCTCTGTGTGTTGGTTTTCTGTACACATGATGGCCTAAGATACCGTCAACTTTCTTAGAGACAAGAACATCTAGGAAGGGGAGTTTTCCGTCTTCCTCTATATCTATCGTGAAGTGGATATTTAGATGTTGATTGTTAAGAAAAATAAGGAATTTATGACTCTGCCATGTCTTCATATCACGTATGTGTTGTCTACATAACGGAACCAAACTTTTGGTTTTTTGAGTGTTTTTCTGAGAGCCTCTTTCTCAAAATGCTCCATGAAGATGTTGGCGAGTACAGGAGTAATAGGAGAGCCCATTGCCGCTCCTGAAGTTTTGTTCATAAAATTGGTTGTTATAGGAGAAGTAAGTGGTTGTTAAGCACTCTATTAGTGGGATGAGGTCAGAGGGGACTTCATGTGAGGCCTTTATTATGTTTAATGTGTCTTTTATTGGGACTTGTGTGAAAAGGGATTCTACGTCGAAACTTACAAGCAGGTCTGTGAGACGTCGTCGGATTTTTTTAATAATAATCGGATTCTTTTGTATAAAATCCGTTGAGTTGGTTATGTGTGATACTAATTTTCCAGTGAGGGGTTGTAGTGTTTGTGCTAGGAAGCGGGAAGTTGTATTCTGGGGAGTATATGGCGCTGACAATCGGTCTGAGGGGGATGTTTGGTTTATGTACTTTTGGTAGTCCGTATAGTCTTGGTGGCAGAAGACTCGTAGGTTTTAATGTTGATTTGGTTTTACTGGGAATGTTGCTTTTCTACACTAAGATCTTGGTATTCTGTGCGATTGCATTAGTTGGAGTCTTTGTCAAGCTTTTTGTATGCTTTGTCCAAAGTATTAGGCTGTTCCTCGCCTTGATGAAGTGGACTGTTTACGAAAAGTTGGCATTCCAAGAATGGATCTAAACACGAAAGAAACTCGCGAAACGCATAATCTTTATATAGATTAAATTTATAATATAAAAGATACACATATATATCATTTATATTTTTAGTGATTCTGCAAAAAATATTGCGTCTTGATTTTTTAATGTATTCATTACAATATGCTCTCATGATATCTCTTAAGATGCCATTCTCTAGCATTATATCTAGCATTCTTTACATAATATTCATTCTTCACATAGTAAAATTATATTAATAAATATTCTTAGCGAAAACAATGGGAAATAATGCTTTTTATAAGATCACCCGAAAAGAATTGAACAACTTACTGAACGACCCGGTTGTCCTCGGCTACCACATTCTTCTCACTGGGTACCGTAACGCTTCTATATTGCAGGGCGTTGTACGTCTTCCAGAAGAGATATTCCCGGTAATATTTTAAGCCCTCATAAAGCGCAGCCATAATAGCGATACCAATCATCGAACCGACGAGACCGCCTATCGATGAAATCTTCCAATTTTCGAATAACACCACCTCACAGTAGCCGGTGTGGAACGTCATCTGAGGATCGCGGAGAGCAGACTGTACATTAACGGCATCAAGTTTGACAACCGGATTGTACGTACCGACATACCGTGCATGCCCATGCCGCTGCACATGCTGTCCGTCGAAGTCTCGATACCGTGATGCATACCTCCGATGCTCCCATGATCCATACCTCCGTGGTTCATATTGCCGTCATCCATACTACCACGGTTTATATGATGAGCCATGTGCATACCGTGAGACGCGTTTCCTGTACTGTCCATTATATGGTGATCATGAGACATCTGGAATAAGGAAAGATTTTTTTTAACTCTGTATGTGTTTCATACTGTTATACACATTCGAGAAGCATATATATTATAATACAACAGTAATAGTGGGTGTCTTTTTCAATAAGAAACACAGATCACACGGTATAGTATTGCTAAATGTTAAACAAAGATCAAATAATAATTACTTGTGTTATACTGTGTTATCTATGTATCTTGCTGGAAAGCATCTAGTTTCTGTATAATCTACATAATTATCTATATAATCTACATTATTATCCTCTTAATAAATGGAGACATCAAAGAGATTTCAAGAATTCCAAAATCAATCTTATTTTTTACAATAAAAACATGTTTTTTCTTACATGATTCTTTATTTTGCATGTAGAAGTAAATTTAAGTAAAAAAAACTATTATTTTTATTCATATATAGCGTACTATCGATTATATAAGAGATAAAGTATATATGATTACAAAAATTTTTTAAAACCTAACATTGTTATATTATAGCTCTAATAAGATAATTTGAAAATAATATAGACTTTCTTTTCAAAAATTGACACTAAAATGATTGATTATTTCAATTTAAATAATGCATCAGAATGTACAAACTTTTTTATTGGACTGCGTATAGCGCTTTGAGACGTGCGATCACGCATTGCGTGAAAATTGTTAAAGTTTCTGGTTTTCTCTAATTTTATATATAACGATAAAAATATCTCGAATATGCGTTGAAATCAAGTGGATAATCATAAAACAATTTCTGTGAAAAGCAAACATTTGAAAAAATAACCTTTTCTAGTTCTGTAAAAGATTTTTATTTCATCTTTGTCAGAGCTACTTGCGGATTTGCTTAAATAAATTTTTTGTTTGTTAAATGTGATTAGCAAACAAAATTTCTGAAAAGAAAAAAACAGGCATCTAATATCAACACTCTTAAACAATCATCAGTGATATCATGAAGATACAATATATAATATAATTAGTCAGAACTGCAAAATATTACTTAAAATTATATAGTATATACATATATATTTCATGGACAATATTATTATTTCTTCAACGAAATTTTTTTTGCATAATAAAATACATAAATAAGAAGAAAAGCAACAAAAACTAATGGTAATTCGAAACGATTCAATTGTAATTGTTTTTTTATAAAATCTCTCAATCGCTTTTTTCTTAATGTTTAAAATTCAGTATTTTCACAATTTTATTTTCTATTTTTATACAAACTTTCATATTGAGAATTATCAGTTATTATTCGGATACGTATAATAACACTGCCCCTCTTGATTAAAACTTTAAAGTAAACAAATTTTTTACACTTTTTATATAGAAAAACAATAAATTTGTGTATCTTATATGTGATACAAAATGTGATGTAATATTTAAAAAAATATATATTAGTATCTAAATTTTTCGAATATGCGTGACTTAAACGATAATTCAAGAATATATTTGCAAAAATGTATTTATCGCATACTGTGTAATGCGTATTTATATATGTATACATCGTTAAGATAAAACATTTTTACATTAATTGTTGCTTAATACTGAAAGAAAATTAATATATAATATAAAATTCGTAATTTTAATTCTGATTCTAAATTTTTTCATATAATGTGATATAACATTTCCAAGTTAGTAGAACTGAAAAAAGTTTTCACGAACTAGTAAGTTTCGGAGAAACAAAATCGTACATAACAAAACCATGTTCCAAATATTTTAAATTGTAATTTAGTTTTATAAGTGCATATAATATACATCGAATATTTTTTGCTGAAAAGAAATACTATTAAATTGATAGAATTTGCCGTTAATAGTAACATTCGCCAATTTTGAAAGATATATTAAAAATTGAATAAAAATTTAAAATTCAGAAAAATCAAGTGATAATAACGTTAAAATAACTGAGGAAAGTCGATACAATAGCAATACACTGAATTGTGATATTAAATAAATATGTGTGTGTGTACACACACACACACACACACACACACACACACAAATAAATATCACTTTAGAACTGCAGTTATATCGATAACAAGCGTATATATATCTCGATACTTCGGGATCTTATCGATCGATTGAATGATACGTAAAATCCGTTTAAAAGAATCACTTCAATACTATGTATTTATAAACAAATCAGGCGTTGAGCTGGAACTACGATGATAAAGCGCGATGATAGAGAATTAAAAATAAACGATAATCGAAGAAGATAAATTGTTAAAAAATTTTGACGTATCTCCAAATAATCTATAATTATCTAATAATAATCTATAATAATCCGTGTAACGTCATCTGCGTTTCCATCGTCAACATATTTATGAACAGGATGAACTTTTTACGTGTATAGCGACAAGATTGCGGAGACTTCTTATGAAAAACAGTACAAGTGCGATGTTTGTTTCGTATTCCTTCATTTTGTTTAGACGAAAAAATACGTAAGCAGCAGATAAAGATACCTCAGGAAACGCGTTTAAATGCGCATTTGCTGACACGTATTACCCAGCTCGTACAAGCAACAAGCACTATTGTTTCAATTTTTCAATGAAATGAAACACGGCGATGGAAGGAGGACTTGAACTATCACATTATGAGTACTCTTGTATCATTAATTTTTCCATTGGCTATTTCATTCAGGTAGCGTCGCGGTTATCTCACAGATCAAAGTTGCATAACACATCGTAACAGTATATAGGATCATGAATCAATAGTCATCGAATAATTAATTGCTAAACTCTCATGGGACATCTCGCTAAACGTGTCGTAATAAAACTCTCTAGGGATTTAATTAAAAAGTAAATGAAATAGCTGTTATCAAATAAGAGAAACAGAACGTGCCAGTTGACAGAGTCATATTAATTCGTTTTTATGCTCACAAGCTGAAATATTTCGAGAGTTCTCTTATAAAATATAAATGTGTCACTTAAGCCTGTGTGACATGATGCTTGTTTTCCTACTGGATTGCTAGCGGGATTAGAATCTTGTCACCGTATTGGCTGCAATTGGCACTGACAGCATTGCAGTCAATACGGTGGCAAGATTCTAATCCAACTAGCAATCCAACAGGAAAATAAGCATCGTGCCGCAGGTTTTAAATAAATTTTTTTTTAGGAATTATAGATCAATTTAAAACCTGATTTTTTCAAGATCTTATTTAAAGAAATTTTTTATTTATTCAAAAAGTACAACAAATTGAAAGATACATATAAGAATAAATGGTATTTCACTGTGAATTGCCTTGTTTATTTGCAATTTTAATTTATCTATAAACATTATTTCAATACTTATCTAAAAAAAAGTCTTTCTAAAATTTGCTGCCCTGGACTACGTGGTCTATTTATGTCTTGATACAACACGCTGATTGAAGAAAATAATTTATTATTATCTAACAGTGGTTCAACCACAGAAACCGCGATTAAAACTTATAATCAACAGAAACGCTTAAAAAAAAAAAAACAAAATAGGATATTCTGGTGGTCCGGAAAAATAGCAGGAAAAAAGTAATAAGGCTAAAATCTTTATGTTTTAGGTTTGTATGTATTATAATTTCGAGAGTGTGAAAGTCTCTGAATTTAAATACGATTTTCCGTTTACAAAAATTTAAATCGACATGGCATCACTTAGGTCCAGTTCCATCAATGTAAGATTAACTTTATCTTGGTTAAATTTAATTTTTATTTTTTTTCTTATATAAGAAAATTAGAAATAAATATATCATATATTATTATTATTATTATTATTATAAGAATTAGAAAACGGTAAACAGTAAGTTAAAATTAACTAAGATTAAATCTAATCTTAAACTGTGGTACTGGGTCTTAAGGGGGAACGCTACTCCTGCAGGCCTATTCTGTACTTAACTCTTAACGCAAGTTTCGTTACCGTGTTGTAACGTCATTGCGCAGCTTTTTTACTTACCATGATAAAAAAACTTCGCAAAGACAATATAACGATAACGAAACTTGCGTTAAGAGTTACAGAAATGTCCTGATGGTAAGCCCTAAAATGTTGGGAATTTGTTGTGGGGAAATAAATAATTTTAATGAAATAAATCAAGAGTATAAAAGCCAATGCTGGATTCTCTGTGCGTAAACAAATTTATACTTCGTATTCTATATTAATAATAAACATTTCGACCTTATAGTTAGATAATCTTTAGTATCATAAAATTAAAAATAATTAAAAAGAGTTACATAAATATAAAGTTAACCTAATTATCTTAACCTTCTATTAAATAACTTTATTTAAAATCTGCTTTAGAGGGCTTTATTGTACATATATGTAACTAAAAAAATTTTTTTTTATTTTTTTATGTCCAAAATGGCGGCACACTGGCAGAATCCTTTCTTCCGCAGCTTCAAATCGATGTACAGGATTCCATCAGGAACATGGTTCAATCTTGAATAAAACACAAATAATTTCATTAACTACCTATCAAAGACTAGGGACGTACGTATTTTTCAAAATATTAATATCTCTCAAAATGGCAGCTGTTTTACAAAAGACTCGCGTTGAAAAAATGTAAATATTTCATAAAATAGCTGCCATTTTGAGGAAGATCAATATTTAAAAAAATCCTTATATATTTCTCTAGTCTTTGATATACATCTAGATAATAAAAATTCTTTGTGTTTTGTTCAAGATTAAATCGTGTGCCCATGATTTCGCAAATGCGCCGCCATTATAAATATAAAAAAAATAAAAAAATATTTTTTAGTTTTTTTTACATACATGTACAATAAAGCCTTCTAAAAAGCAGATTTCAAATAAAGTTATTTATTTACCCATTAAAAATCCTCAAAATTTTAGGATCTTAGAAGTAATGTTCCTCCTTAAGATGACGATCAATTAATATTCATGTACATAATATTATATTTCGTAGATATTTATATTCAGAACAAAAATTCGTAGTCTGCGTGCGCGCGCTAATTTTATATTTATATTTAAAAACAAATGTAACAACAACAATTCTACCATTCAACAGAGCAAAGTCTCAACTTTAA